CGAACGACCAGCAAATGAACAGTTAATTATTTCTGTATAGTGATTGTAAGGGTAGCGGAGGTAGGGTAAACCCTGCAGACAGGAGATGTAAGGCCCCTTTTTCCCTTCGCTAACCTCATGGGCAGGGGCAGACACATCCGACTTTAGCTTTTACAACTGGAGCCGGTCGTGGGGCAGAGTACCCGCTTAGCCCCCATCAGGGTTACGTGAAGTCATGGCAGGCAACTGATGGATAAACGTGATGAGCAGCTGAGAAGTTTTCAGTACTGGTCATCACTTTCACTCTGCTAGGCAGAGGATGCCTTTAAAGGCACACTGGATCCCACAGAAAGAAATTGCAACCTACTGTGAGTATTTAGCAAAGAAAAGTCATGTCTATACAACAATCGATAAACGTAAACCACGTTAAGGGGTATTCAAGACGAGAAAGAGAATTTTCAAAACCTATATAAATCCTATATTGATATACGGAAGCCAATCATGGACAGTTAGTAAATTATTGAAAACTTTCTTGGAAGCTGCGGAGATGTCGTTTAATAGACGAATGATGAGAATACCCTGGACAGATAAAAAGAGTAACGAAGACTTCTTGAAAGAAATTAACTCACGAAGAGAACTGATTACCCCACATCAGAAAGAGGCAATCTACATTCTTTGGTCATATGATGTAAAGGAAAAAAACTGGATTACATCATGACGGTAGGAAAGTTGGAGGAGAGGCAGATGTAGACTGACAGAACAGATGCTGGACAGTTTGACATCATGGCATGGAAGATCATCTGTGTCAGAGTTGACTGAAAGTACACGAGACAGAAGGTTGTGGATAGGCATCACTACCAACGCTACACAGCATGGACTGTATTGATTTTGACCTTTCTTGGACATCGGCACTCAAATATTTATTGAAAAAAATAAGGAAGTTTAGCTCGTGTGAGCTTCTTCCCCTTCTAGACAAACTTTTTAATGAAAATAGTATAGATCAAAATGTACTGACTGACTTTCTACCCCACCAGAACATCACACAAGCGATAAACACCCGATGACACAAAGTGCCACCATGTGGATGAGGATCGTCGTGGAGAGGTCCCAGAAACCGCGTTCAGACAATTTGCCATATTTATGGCCTGCTTATATTGCGGCCCCTGGCTAAAGCCAGGGTGGGGCTTCAAATAAAAAAAAAATTACATTCTAAAAAGGACGCAAGGATTCCTCTCAGTATGCAAGCATCTGTGAATTCTTGAGTACCCAGCCACAATAATGATGTTGGGTGTAAGTGCTAATGCTCTACTCTTCTCCTTGATGGTGTGTTACGTTGCGCTCACACTAAATACAGGGACACTTCGTTTGCCCCAGCTGACTGATTCATCCGTGTAAACCAAAGCATCGTCTACATCGGTGTTCTCATCAGTCAGCATTTGGCTAAAGTGTCCACTAGGAAGACGAAAGAAGTTTTTTTTTTTTTTGGTACATTCTTTTGTTATGACATCGGGTAACTGAACACTATGGGAATGCCCAATGTACAATAATAATGTCGACTGGGATAACATAGTAAGAAAGCCAGCTAACGAATATGCTGGATTCCGTACGCCAGTCCATATGACACTTATTAACAATACACTGACTGATCAGTGAAGAAACGGGGCTCCACAATAGTGTGAAATGGTAAATTTTAAAAAGTAAATACTATTTTTTGTTTGTTGAAGTTGTAAATGCATCAACGATAACTAAAATGTAATAAAGGAAAGACACGCACACATACAGCAGAAAGTTTCGGCCAAAGTCTTTATCAACGAATTTTTGAGCGCATTTTAAAAAAACTGTTCCTACGCTGAGCTTCCTACTCTCAGATTGTATTGTATTAATTTATATTTGATGTCAGCCTGTATTTTCAACATTACTTTCATTAGATAAATTGTCTTCTGGATAACTGAGTACCCTACTCTGCAATAGAATTGCTAACAGCAAAGGAGTCCGCTTATTGCAGAGAAGGCTTCAGAATTCCAACCTTTTTTTTTCTCGTTGTGTGAATCATTGACACGCCAACGTCTTCAAGAATTCTTTTTCTTCTTCTTCGCCAGCTGTAAACTCTGGCTGAAAGTTCTGGTTTTTCATCAAATTCTGGACTGCAGTCTTGTTCCAGAACCTGGGTGTTGCGTGTGCATCCGTTCTACAGATCTGACTCATTTGTATGCAGACTGCTGGTTCCTTGCCTCTCAGGCAGATGCACTCCGACTTTAAAGGAAGCTCCCAATTAGTTGACTCTTTTGGGTAGGCAGTGGGTCTATTCTTGTTTTCTCTATAACAGGGCCCCGGAACCCACATGGGGATCTTCAAGAATTGTAATGGCTCCACCATTCAGGCCATGCTGGTATACGTTGAAGTAAACGTGATATTGGGTAACAGTGTTGCTTGGCAATGGAGGCATACCGTTTGTAAATAACCGTCTTTTGAACGAGGAAAGAGATCGGTGACTACTTGCGGCGACAACTTATAGAATCATAAGCCCATTTCACCATCAGCAAAATAATAGTAAAGGGCAAAGTAAGCCTACCTACACGTTCAGTTGTTCACCAAAAACGTCAAGAATCCATCTTTCAACTTCTTGGGGGGGGGGGGGGGGGTCGGGGGGTTGATAAAGCACGAGTAGGAGACATTTATTGAGGAGCCATTGCAGAATCTACATGCTTGATAGTGGCAGAGAGTCTATCTATTGCTTAACGATTTCTTTGAGTAATTTTATCAAACACGCATAGCTATTATTTTAGTTGTTTCCAAGTCAATTCTGATTGATTACGTTTATCTTTCCGACATTTAATATGACTGGTTGGCCAGTTATTTTTTAGCGTGATAAAAAACTAGTTTGCACGGAGATTTTGTGTAACTTTAAATAAACGTACTATAAATTGTTTTTATTTTTCAGTCTACGCACAGTCAACCAACATTGTAGCAATTTATTTTATAACATTATTTGTATGAACTTGCTGTTGTGTTTCTTTTAGCACGTGATATATAAAAACTTGGACATCTTGTCTATATGTAACTTCGTTTGGATGTATTCTCGTAACATAGGAATTTCGGTCGGGTTAGTCAAGTTATTAATTAAATAATATTCTTGCTGTTAAATACATTATTGCTGCATGTTGCATACACGAGAGTAGTTATGTTTATGGAATATTTAAAAAAAAAAAAATAAATTGAATGAAAATATAACTAGGTAATCTGAGTTGGAAATACCTAACTGGTAAACAGTTTTTCATTTTGATTTAGCCTTGACAACATTGGCTTGTCCTGGATCAAATTTGTGCCAGGTCGGTAAGAAGGTTGCACTTGATAAATTCACGAAAAGGATCAGATGTTGATAGATTATAGATAGATGTCATAGCTTCTTATAACAGAGCATACTGTTCAAGATATCTTCTTGTTAGCTGAAGAAGAACTGGTACATATCACAGATGTCACCGCATCTCGCCAGGTGCAAGATTTCGTGTTAGCATATGCGTTACTTCCCCTTCAGCGTCTGTACGCACTGTTCAGAAAACCGGCTCCTGCTCATTTGAGACCCGACACGAAAGTGCGCAGCTATCTTTCATAGCAGACGACATTGAGCGACCGTTTTTTTTAAAATGTGTGTGTGCGCGCATGTGAGCGAGTGTTCCACTAGTTTTTTCTCTCTATCAGCTATGTCTCTTGTGGAACCGTCAATTGTTTGAGAACTGATAGCATTCTGGGCCCTGAAAGTCTTTTGGGGGCCTAAAAAGAGCAGACAGTGTGGATGTACCATATACTCTTTGGTGATCCAGAAGTTCACAAGCCTGCAGTTTGACTGCATTAGTGGATCTGAAGATGTCGTCTAATTCAGCAACTCTGGGAGTGGACTGAAGGGGTGATTCAACAAGAATTCAACATACTCCACATAAACTTGCACATATATACATGAGATGATTATTGAAACAATGTCAGGCTGAATGCAAGATGCTGTGTTGCTGCAGAAAAGCAAAACTACTCTATCTCTCGCCAGTACTGACAGTTGAAGAAAATTAACCTCAAAGTTCAAGTCCCAGAATAAGGCTGCAGTGATAGCGATGAAGAGCCTACACACATAGTGCCAGCTACTCAGAACGTGGAAATTAGAATGTACTAGCAGCTCACAACATGGAATATAGAATGCTTACAGCGTTGAAAATAACACAACACCTCTAGAACGTAGGACAGCCTGTGGAAACAGCCACAACATAAATGGGAGTCAACAAAAAATCTTGCACCCATCAAGATTCGGTGATATTCATGATATGTAATAAAGAACTAATATGCTAGTACATGTTTATTAAGTCGGCATCTGTTGCTTAGGCGTTGCGAACGTACTTTGTAATGCCAGGGTGTCAGGTAAGATCCCAGTCGCGGACGATTTGTCTTGGGTTGGTTTCAACAGGGGTACAGAGAAACTCTTCAGAAAGCAGTGGCAAATTACTGAACGTAAAATTTGCCTAGAAAAACCATAACAGCCAAAACATGCTGGGGCTGGTTGTGCAACATCCTGTAAAGGATACACAGCTAACTTTATATAAACTTTATATGTTTATTAACTCTTTCAATTCCAAGCAACTCACCATGTGTCTACTGGTATGATATCCCAACTGGTTCTTCACCTCCTGCTATTCTATAGTGATATTAGTTGAACCCTTTCTCATCCAAACAAATATTACTATAAGCAACTGTTGCTTGAGAAAAGATGAGTTAAAGAAATGCATAAGTGGGACATAAAGAGTTAATGCAGCCCACAACTGCTCCCAGGTTGACCCAGCCTTAAATCTGTACCAGGTAAAGCCCTGGGAAGTGAAGGTGGCTGGCATGATCCTGACCACATCATCCGCCAGTTGTTCTATAAAATATAGTTCTAGCTATATGCCCAGCACTCCTGAAGATGTGGAAAAGGGGAATTTACTTTACTTTTAACTGCTTTAAGTATAATAATACTTAGATTGTTTCCTTCTATTGTGAAGCAGGTGAAATGTCAGGACTTTGTCTTGGCAGAAGCACACTAAGGCATGTGTGGCCTTATCTTGCCAGGAGAAAACCGGAATGTGTGTCACTGTGCTTGTCAAGATCCAGCAAATTTAGCACCTGTGTCTCCATCACATCCGCATCAAATGGCTACACACTGTTGCCACCTCATAGACAGGCTGCTCTTGCTAGATCACAGCTGGGGCCGTTGGTGTGCATGCAGCTTGTGAGGACAGTGATGCAGCGAAAGCTGCCAGATTTTTCACACAAGCCGCTGAAGACACCGTTTCACAAAAAAGTTTACTTAATGTTCCTGCTTACTATGGTTATTCTCTCCATATTTATTGAGGGGTAAGTGGATGTAAAGATTGTCTTGTCATCTTTGGATATTCAGTCTTCTTTTCTTTTTTACATTCACCAGCCGTAAACTCTGGTGGAAAGTTCTGGTTGTTCACCCACTTCTGGACAGCAGTCCTGTTCTAGAACCTGAGTGTTGCGTGTGTATCCATTTGACAGATCTGACTCATTTGTGTGCAGACTGTTGGTTCCTTGCCTCTCAGGCAGATGCACTCCGACTTCGAAGGAAGCTCCCAGTTAGTCGACTCTTACGACATGCTTTTGGGTAGGCAGTGGGTCTATTCTTGTTTTCCCTATAATGGCCCCGGAACCCACTTGGGGTATATTCAGTCCTAAGACTGGTATGTGCGACATCCGTGGCTTAGGCGTTGCGAATCCGACTCGTAATACCTACGTACCGCGATCGAAATCCACTGCTGGCTGCCTGGATTTTTATCATGGTATGTCGACCCATACCCGAAAGGCGTGAAAAAGGATCTTTACTTGTTTTACTTTAAGACTGGTATGTTATGTCATATCATATGATTCAGTCTGAAGGCTGGAATTAGTTTAAAGTTATCCAGTCTGCAGACAGAAATGTCATGTTAGTTTATTCACTTCAGAGACGCGTATGTCATGTCATGCTAGTTTGTTTGTTTCTAGTCTGTAGACAAGCATGTCATGTCAAGTTGATTTAGCACCTTTCCGTCTTTCCAGACGATAGTGTTATATTGCGCTATGAGGATGCATAGGACTTACAGCCCATGGCGATGGCGAGTGTGACTAGCAAGACCCGCCCGGGTCAAGAAGACTTCCACAATGGTAGCATGGGATTTCAGGACCATTGTTGTCAACATTTGTGTTTAATCTGTTTCTTTTCAGGTGCTTAGCTATCATCCTTTCTGCAATCTTTTCTTCCTTCAGTCTGATTGCCTTCCTGATATGCCCTTTCCACACAACACGGTCCACGGCATTTTGTTCCTATGAGTCCACCTCAATACCTGTATCATTCATGTCAAGTTACTGAGTCATAATTATTACAGAAAGTATTGATTTTAAACAGTAGACAGAAATAATTAAAAAACAAATATATTTGGGTGTAAAAAGATGTATGATATAAAAAGTAATTAATTAATTGTAAATCATCACCATCATTATCTTGCCTTGCTGGGATGGCATTATTGTTTGTGTCTCTCTACGGATCTCAGTCTTAAGTATTCGGGATCAGTTCTAAATAATATTCCTGCATGCCACCATCCTAGACCACCCAGCGTAATATCTTTCAGTCTGTCTCTGCAGTTTCTGCTTCTTCTTCTTTTTCTTCTTTTCCTTCTTCCTCCTCCTCCTAGGCCCACTGCCTCCCCAAACAAACATGTCGTAAGAGTCGACTAATTAGAGGCTTCCTTTGAAATTGGAGCATATCTGCAACTGCACACAGATAAGCCAGTATAACAGATGTACATGCTCATCTCAGGCCCTGGCACGAAGCCAGAGTCCAAATGGACAAACAGTGAACAAACAACCAGGACTTTTCCGCAGAGCCTACAGCCGGTAAACAAAGGAGGAGGAGGTACAGTAGTCCAGTAGTGGACAAACAATTAGAACTTTACGCCGGAGTTTACAGCTAGTGAACACTAAGAATTATTATTTGCAGTATTGATGGCAATAACGGTACTAAAATTCATTGCTCTAATTGTGGAGCAGTTCTGTCCGTATTCCATAGTTGGGGATTTCAAGCTGTGCGATAAACATGCCAATGTGAACACATTTTTTGCGGTTGCCTAAATGGCTTTGTTCTTAGTAAGCTTGTTTCCATAGCCAGGCGCACACGTCATTTGGAGGTGACAGGTTCGATTCGCGCACGGTAACTATAGGTTTTGATTTTTATGTTGTCTAGTGTGTCCTTCTGTCTTCTGTGAGTGCCGATCAGTACATTGTCTTGATTGATTATATATCTATAATATTTATTAAATGGCTTCAAGGGTTCCCCCTTTGTTTATTTATCTAATTGTGGAGGACTTTTCTTGGTCTGTGATTACCCTGCCTGCCTATAAATATATAGCCCAGGGCTATCTTCTGAATAATGGTCCTAAATTATTGAGGCGGAAAATATACCCGCAGTCACGTGTCGATTGCGCACTTCCGGAGACTATATCGCCACTGCCGAATTGCGAACTTCTGGCGACTTCCACCACCGCCGAAAGTATCCCCCACGTGAGCGGCATGGATTGGGGCTAAACTAGATGGCTAGGACTCATGAGCAAATAAAATGAAGGAAGCTGCAGGAAATGTGGTAGCTGCTGCTCGTGAGTCCCAGCTATCTAGTTTAGCCCCAATCAACGCCGTTGAGCGGCGTCTGGGATACTCTCAGTGGTGGCGAAAGTGCGCAATTTAAGACGACGGAAGTGCGCAATTGACACGTGACTGAGGCTCTGTTAGGGTATATTTTCCGCCTCGATAATTTAGGACTGTTATTCGGAGGATAGCCTAGCCAAATATAACACTATCATGTGGAAAGGTGCCAGCAATATCTACAGTATTTGTATTCATATTAATTTGTGCAAATGAAGAACAACTTGATGTAACAGTCTCTTATCAACAAAAAAAAGAGAGCATTTATTATTATTCTACCCTTTAGAACAGGACACAATGGACTTTGCAGCCACATGTACACAAAATTTAAGTGTGGCGAATCAGCCGTGTGTACATGTTGACTAGCACCTGAGACAACAGACCACGTCCTCCAAGACTGTCCCAAATACAACATATCAAGGCAACATTTTTTGGCTAAGAGAAACACCTGTGCAAACTTTGTGGGCAGCTGATTGAATTACAACAGACAGTGAAGTTTATATCAGAGACGACATTGCAGATATAGATAATCTATTTCCAACTAATGAAAATAAGAAGATGAAGAAGATTATTATACGTTTAAACAAAGAAGACACAAACAATAAACTGCACAATTTTTTGCCTAGCATATTTCGCATATGTACTTACTTAGTCGCTCCTCTTCTATCTTGAGGTGTAGAGGTTTGCCAGAGAGATCGCCAGACGTCTCTATCAGCCATTTTCTTTCTGGCTTGGTTCCATTCCAGTCCTCTGTCAGTTAGGGACTGTCGGATGTTGTCTTCCCAGCGCACCCTGGGTTGTCCTGGAGGTCTGGTTCCCTGGTTCTTAGCCTCCCATGCCTGCCATGGTGGCCGATTTTCTCCCATTCTGCACAAATGTTCAAACCATCGTAACTGTGACTGATCCACTCGGGTTTGTAAGACTGGGTATCAAGATCTTGACGTATTGTCTGATTGCGGACTTTGTCCCTTTTTGTCACTTGGACCACCTTTCTCAGATATCTCATTCCTGAGGCCTGAAGCTGGCTTCTGTGGGCTGTTGTCATTGCCCATGACTCACACCCATAGGTCAGGACTGGTACATAGGTAGAGCGGTAAACAGCCATTTTCATCCTCTTGCCAATTTCTGTTTTGCTAAGAAACCCTCGGTTTATGGCCTGGAAAAGTCTCCCAGCAGCTGCTTTTCGTGTAGCCAGATCAGTCTTGATACCTCCATTTCGGTCAAGTACAACTCCAAGGTATTTGAACTGGTTGACCTGATCCAATGCATACTGTCCCATCATGATCTGGTGTTTCTTCTCTCTTGAGATCACCATGGTTTTAGTTTTGGAGATACTGATGGTCATCCCTCTCTTCTCAAGCTCTTTCTTCCAGACAAGTAAGTTGGACTGAAGGTGTGCCTCTGATTTAGCTATTAGGGCCACATCGTCTATAAATGCCAGCTCTGATATACAGATTGGTCTCATCTTCCAGTACCCTACTGAGTACTTCTTTGTCTTCTCCTTACAGGTCTTGATAACATCATCCATCATAACAATGAAGAGGTAAGGTGAGAGAATATCACCTTGTCTAACACCGCTAGTGGTCTTAAATTCTTCTGACTTTTGGTCTTCCGTTGTTACATAATTTCTGCAGCTTTTGTAGAAACTCTGTATTGCACTGATCAGGGGTGCTGGGATGTTTTTCCCTGCCAAGCAGTCCCAGAGCTTGTTGCAGGGTACCTTGTCAAATGCCTTTTCCAAATCCAAAAAACATAGGTGCATCTCACTCTTATATTCAAGGGCTTTTTCACTCATCTGTCTCAGTGTGAAGATAAGGACTTAAGTACTTCGGTTTGCTCTGAAGCCGCATTGGGCCTCATCCAGCTGTGGCTCTACCAGACTTCTAAGTCTCTGCTCGAGAATTCTAGAGTAACTTTTACCAGGAACGCTGAGGAAGGATATGCCTCTGTGGTTTTCACATTGTCTGTTATCACCTTTTTTAAATATAGGTATAATGATGGCAATCTCCCAATCTTTTGGTATAGTTTTGCTACACCAGGCTGCCTGGAGAACCTTCAGTAGAAGGCCCTTACCTGCGACTCCCATATATTTGACCATCTCTGGTGTTACACCATCATGACCTGCTGCTTTCTCCAGCTTAATCTTCTCAATAGCTGCCTTTAATACTTCCATCCTGATGTTATCATCCCCATGGATGATTTCCTTCTCAGCAGTGAGGTATGTTATTTCTGGGTCGTGACTTCCCTCAACACCAAGGAGCTCTAAGAAGTATTCTTTCCATCTGTCCATGATATCATTTGTAGAAGTAAGTAGAGCCCCTTCCTTGTCTTTTATGAATTTCAGTGGGCACTCCTTCTCCTTCCTTATGTTCTTGAGGGTCTTGAAGAACAGTTTTTGATTCTCTCTTGCATTCTTTTCCAACTTTTCTCCAAACTCTTCCCATGATTTCTGTTTTGCTTCAAGCACAGTATTTTTGGCCTCTGTTCTGAGTGCCACATATCGTTATATTTCTCTATTTCTTCAGCTATGTTCCTGGCTGCCAGGTATTGCTTCCATGCCCTTTTCTTTTCTCCTATTTTCAATTTGACTTCTTCCGTCCACCAAGGTGTCCTATGTTCCTGCCTTTCACTTGGGACTTCACCACATGCTTCTTCTGCAGCTGCTGTAAGGATATTCTTGAATCTGCTCCAGAGGGTTTCAGTGTACTCTGATGGTTCTTCTTCAGTTCCTATTGCTTTCACTATAAGCTCCTGGTATCTAGCCTTAATATCTAGCTCTCTTAGCCTGTATGCCTTAATCCTCATCCCTTCTCGGTTGCTCTGTTTCTTGCATGGTTGTCGGTGTTGCCTTGTTGGAGCAGTTCTTTCAGTTGTTCTCTTTATTGTGACCAGATAGTGGTCACTTCCAATCTCTGGTCCTCTCATGACTCTGGCATCTCTCACAAACTTGAATGAACTTTTCCTAACTATGGCATAGTCAATGATGGATTATTCATTCTTTGAAGGTTCACATCTTGTGTATGCATGTATTCGCTTGTGGGGGAATTTTGTGTTTGTAATGACAAGGTTCTGTTCCTTGCAGAATCTGAGAAGTCGCTTGCCATTATCATTCAAAACATCTTCACCATATCTCCCGATCACTCCACCCCATCTAGAGTGATCATTTCCTACTCTGGCATTTAGATCTCCTAGGAGGATAATTTCATTGTGACAGTCATCTATGGTCCTTTGGTGCAGTTCAAAGAACTCTTCTTTAACATCTACTCGCTCATCTTCATTTGGCCCGTTCACAATGACAGTATTGACAGCCTTGTCTTCTTCTTTCAGATCTGTGGCGTGCGTAGGCGCTTCATGCTGATGTGTGTCGTACCAAGATGAAATAGGCCAAGTAGGGGTGCCCTCTCTGGATTGCATCAACGTCCCACCAATCGCAACATCGGACGCATCTGTGGATACATAGAACGGCAGAGACAAATCTGGCAAACACATGAACGGATTACTATTAAATGCCTTTTGTAATCTCTGGAGCGCGTCCTCGCACTCTCTCGTCCAGATCACCTTCGGACTATAAACATCGACTGCCTTTGACAACAATACCTTCACAACGTTATGTATTGTTTTGACGTCTTATTTGCTCACTCAGTACTGGTGCGTTCTGGTGCACATCCGCACGCGACAAGATCTAACACCATTATTCGCTCCGAGATTAATTTCCATCCCTTGATGTTACTAACTTGATTCCTGGCCACAATATAGCCAACATCTCCCTTGGCTCTCTCCGTCACAGGGACACCACTGTAGAGCAGCATACTTCCATCGTGATCTGTGATTCCTTGCCCCTGATCTGTGATTCCTTGCCCCTTTTTCTTGGTTTCAGTCAGAGCCAAGACTCCTAATTTCGGTTTCCTCAATCTCCCCTACTAACTCGTTTTCCTTTCCGTTAATGCCTCTAATGTTCTATGTTCCATAAATCGTAGTCCATAAGCCATGCCAGTTCGTTGCCGTTAAGATCCATCCGATTTTCTCTCTGTGTTTACTTGTAATCATAGTTTAAGACAAACAGGTTATTGGCCTGTTGTGCCTTTGCTTGGTAAAGGGGCTGCCTCCTTGCGGCCTCCATGCAGGCCGTCTGGCTGATTCACGGTTACCCACTACTTCCGGAGACGCATGAAGCACTCAGGTTCAGCCAGACCCTCCTCCTTTTACAGCCGGGCTTGGGACCGGTCTTAGCCGAGTTATATTTTGCATACTACAGTAACAATTGATTAAAATGAAGCAAATACCTGATTCCTAGAAACTGAAACACAAATTTGAGTACATTCTAAACTGTCTGTTTCACCAAGGTAACCGTAAGGTAACGAACATTTCTTTCTACCTACAGAGTTATACGTTTGTTAATTTTAGCCATGTTGAATACTTTGCTTAACATTTTTATTATTTGCCCTGAAAGGTTGGATCTTGATGGCAAAGAATGTCAAAGCTGCATCTCTGACTAACTCAAACTCAAATAATGAAGAGACCGATGACTCAGAGGGTGACAGTGATAAGAAGAAGAAAAAGAAAGTTGGTTTTAGGGACAGAAGGGTAAGTATGTAATGTTTTTCTTTTGGTTTCCAAATTAAGAATATCATATAAAATTGAGTTAATTAAGTGACAGTCGGAGCAGGTGAATTGTTGCTATTCTGTTGCAAAGAAGCCATTGTATTTGTAGAAAGAACTATTGTTAGGTTCTCTTGTTTATTAGCTCAAAAAATTTGATGTTAGCTTGTGATGTCATTAGTGTTAATACACTTTGTCCCAGTCTAGAATAGGACCATTCATCAACATTTCTCAGGGGCCACAATTTTGAAAATAGGGTATCATCACAGGCAAGAGGCCTGAGACCAAGCATAGAAAGATCTATAATACAGTACAACTGTCAGTGATCTGCTGGCCACTTGCTATGAATAGCCCTGGTGTAGAAGATTTAATGTTATCAGTAAAAGCAGATAGTGGTTCAGAACAAAAAAGGGTAACAGACTTTTCAGTGGAAATTAAGTACGTAAGAGACCAGTTATAAGGCTCATAAATTGTACAAATTATGTTTTAGCACTGCATTTTGGAAGTCAGTAAAATCATTTCACAGTCCGATGTTCCGTGAACCAGGGTTCAATTTCTGCAGCCCACTATTGAGAAAAAGACCAGACTTCAGTCAGTGGTACAACACCGAATATTCCCCAAGATGGCTATCAGTACAGTGTAGACAACCTCCACTCCAGAGAAGGCAAACAAAATGTATAACTTTCTATCTGAATTTTTTTCTGTCTTAGTTGTCAGCCTCTTTGTGGAAAACTCCTTTTTTTCAGTCTGTGGGTGTAAAAAGGCTGAAGAACACTTCTATAAGGGTTTTTGGAGGGAAAATGTTAAGCTTACACTTAAGACCTTCTACATCGACACAGAACGACAACAGGCGTTACTACCCATTAATCAGTGGATTGCAGACTGTTCCTCCCCATGATGCCTAAAAACAGATGTGAAAATTGATGATAATTATGAACATTAAAATGTCTGAGTGAGAACTGCACATTAATTTTATCACACAGAAAACCCCTGTTAGGACTGTCTATTCACACATTAATCTTATCACATAGTCATTAATCTTATCACATAGAAAAGCCTTAACAGGACTGTCTATTCACACATGAATCTTGTCACATAGAAAAGCCCTGGTAGGACTGTCTGTTCACACATTAATCTTGTTACATACAAAAGCCCTGATAGGACTGTCTGTTCACACAAGACATTAATCTTGTCACATAGAAAAGCCCTTGTAGGACTGTTCACACATTAATCTTATCACATAGAAAAGCCCTGATAGGACTGTCTGTCTGTTCACACAAGACATTAATCTTGTCACACAGAAAAGCCCTGATAGGACTGTATGGAGAGCTCACTATTTTACTTGTATTCCTCAGAGTAGAAAAGAAAAACAACCTGTCAAAATTCTCAAACTTAACATCATTATGAATTTAACATACATGATATTGAATTGGAAATGAATGCATGAAAAATGATATCAGAAAAAGCTGGCACACATTCATACCCAGTTCGTGATCATTTGAAGATAGACATTTGTGTGTTTGTTGTTATGGCAAGGTTGTAAAGAATAAAAGTGAGACATTTGCTAAAGATACTTTTCTTGATTTTATGAATTTATACTACAGATCATCAGCTATGAAGACCGCATACGTGCCTACTCAACACCAGACAAGATCTTTCGTTACTTTGCTACCCTCAAAGTGTATCAAGATGGAGAATGGGAAGTATACATGACACCAGAGGATTTTGTTCGCTCCATTACTCCAGGAATTAAACAGCCAGAAGGTGTGTATTTTTTCTCTTACCCTTTTCACATCTTTGGTGCATCGAGCATATTGTATCAGTCCCAAATTGTTTATAGACCAAATGATATTTGCAGTGATGTTAGATTCCATCCTGTTTCAGTCTAGGATTTCCCACATGCTGGGCTAACACCATGCTTCTCCATTTGTTAATGCTGTGGCACATATGCACAGCTACAGCCAGGAAACATACCCAAATGTCTTTACATCAGAAACACAGAATGGCACTCAGGTTATCTGTAAATTCTTTCTGTAAAAAAAAAAAATTACTTACTTATTTAATCGTTCCTCTTCTACCTTGGGGTGTAGAGGTTTGCCATACAAAGCTATACACGACACAAAAGGAACGCGTCTCAAAAGAGGCTGCTCTTGGATGGCAAATGCTGAGGATTTAATCCAGCAGGTATGTGACCTAGACGTGATCAATCACGAAAAAGAATGGACGAATACACCAGTAGACATGCATGGCATCTCTAAGGTTGTCATCACACTCGGAAGGTACTGCAGGGATCAAATTCCTGCGGCCGTAGACACTGAAGTAAGGGAACTGATAGATCAGCATTCAGACCCAGAAGATATCATCATCTACACAGATGGATCCGTGAAGCCCGGAGAAAGGAGACGATATAACCAGCTTCTCATGGGGACAATTAGTAAAAGTACTTTGGAGTGGCTGCTGCTTCGGAGAATTGAGCACGCATGGGTATGCCCAATGTGCAGTGACATTAAGTGTGATAACAAAACATAGAATAACATCTTGTAGGGAGTCGGCAGTCCGAAACCCAAGTTCAAGGTGTTTCCTTCGTGCCAAAGAACTGCATGGCTGTTGGGTGAACAGTCGTTAACGAAGGCAGGCAGGTCGTTGTAGGGGCGACGCCTGCTGGTGGATGTAATGTCCTAAGTCCCTTCCCCAGCTAATAATGAGGGTACTGCTGGGGTTACCGTTTATTAACCCTCATATAATGCTTCAGGTCAAAATGGACGCTAGGCACGGCCACCTTTTTTTTTCCCCTGCCACACGGTGGCTGTTGCATTTTTGCTCCATTTGTAGACTGGAAGGATATAGTTTCGTCACCCAGCTTCTGAGTTGAGTGCATGGTGTGACACTGTGAGCTACGTGTATTTTTTGTTGGCACAGGAGCAGAGCAACTATGGGGTGACCCAATTGCTATGAAGCTGAAACTAGGATTACCAGATTACCAGAGGTTTGCCAGAGAGATCACCAGACTTCTCTGCAGTTTTCTTTCTGGCTTTGTTCAATTTCATTCCTCTGTCAGTCAGGGACTGTCGGATGTTGTCTTCCCAGCGAACCCTGGGTAACCCTAGAGGTCTGGTTCCCTTGTTCTTGGCCTCCCATGCCTGGCGTGGTGGCCGATTTTCTCCCATTCTGCATACATATCCAAAAAAACTTTACTGTGATTGATCCACTGAGTTTATAATGCCTGGGTGTCAAGATCCTGACATATTGTCTGATTACGAATTGTGTCGCTTGTCACAGACCACCTTTCTCAGATATCCCATTTCTGAGGCTTGAAACTGGCTTCTGTGAGCTGTTGTCATTGCCCATGACTGACACCTATAGGCCAGGACTGGTACATAGGTAGAGCATTAAATTGCCATTTTCATCTTCTTGCCAGTTTCTCTTTTGCTGAGAAACCCTCCATTTATGGCCTGGAATGGTCTCCCAACAGCTGCTTTTTGAGTAGCCAGTTCTGTGTTAATGCCATTCCGGTCTGTTACAACTTCAAGGTATTTGAACGTTTTATTAACTTGATTCTCACAGTCTACTCAGACAACGTTTACCTACTTAATACTTTCTTGTTAGCAGTCACAGTTAAAATCATTTAAACTACATTTAATGTATAACAACGCCTTCCTGACCATGAGATAAGTTCTTATGTCCTTCCTCCTTAATCTCCTTGACCTTAAATATTTCATACCGCTCCTGTTCTTGCATGTGTTTTCTGCCTGGCTTGTTATGCCCTGAGCTGCGACTCATGCACATGGTACATATAGGTGTCTTTTTCATCTGGTGTCTGTCCTATTTAATGAGGGTGATTTTCTATACTAATTAGTTCTCCAAAGGATTATAATCTCTGATTATCCTTTAGTTACTTAGTCGACAGATTATCCTCATCGCACATTGGTCAAGTCCATATGGTTGTCCTTTACCATTGTTCTTGCATCCTTTGAATTGTGTACCTACTTTTATTTTACCACTGAATTTGTCCTATAATTAACTTCATTTTTTTTTTGCACTAATTGCATATCCATAGACTTGTCTTAGTCAGTTCATCCAATCTGTCGGGTTATTAGCAGAAAAAATATATAATCATAATAATAGTTATTTAGCTTTGAGATATTTTGCCCATAGAGCATTGGTCTTCCCGATAGATTCTACAACACCTTTTACAGGGAAATTAGTCCCCAAGGACTCCCAGCTTGCAGCAACAAAATTGATGATATATTTTCCCCATAGAATATTGGGCTCCCCTATAGATTCTATAACACCTTTTACAGGGCCAGCAGACCTCAAGGACTCCCGCTTGCAGCAACAAAATTGTTGATATATTTTCCCCATAGAATATTGGGCTTCCCTATAGATTCTACAACACAGGGCACCTTTTACAGGGCAGTTAGCATCACGGAATCTGAGTTGCAAAAAAAAAAAAAAATGTTGAGATATATTTCAATAAAACCAGGGATTCTCTAATAGATTGTTCACCTTATAGAGGTAGTTAGTCCCAAGGAATCTCATCTGTGTCGTTTTCCCATTAGTTTGTCATAGGTCACTTCAACTTCTCTGCTGTGCTATGCATTAAAAACAGTTTGCTTATACCAATTGTGGGAGCCACGGTGTTGAAGCTGCTACCTGTGGATTCGAAGGTCGGGGGTTCAGGTCGTAATGGACCTGGACTTTAAAAAAAAATGATTTCGACTCCCAGGTCACCCCAGCCTTAAATGGGTACTAGGTAAAGTTGCAGGAAGTAAGTTGACCACATCACCCACAGAGTGCTGATTGGTCTATAAAAATAGGTCTAGTATACCTGAAAGTGTGGAAAACGGTCCTTTATAGGAAAATATGAGCATCCCTGTTAGATTTCTATGGTTATTATTCACATATTTAATGTATCTAACATCTTTAGATCATGTAAGAAGAAAAATAGATATATTTATAATATAAAATTTAGTTACCTTTTTTTTGCACTCTTCTCTTGTTATAGTTTATGAAGTTTAATTGTCGTAATATTGAATCATTAATGTTTGAACAATTCAAGTTTGAAATATTTAGATCTTTTATTGATTTACTACATGAAGTATAGTTGTAATAACAAGTAAAAGTCCCTTTTCCACGCCTTTAGGCGTATTGGGAATATATGGCTAGGCCTATATTTTTATAGACCAATCGGCACTTGGTGGATGATGGGGTCAGCATCACGTCGGCCGCTTTTACTTCCCAGAAATGCACCTGGTCCCTATTCAAGGCTGGGCCAACCTGGAAGTCAAGGTCATTTTTGACAAAAATGTCCGGCTCTGTCAGGTCGCAAACTCAAGACCTTTCGATCCGCAGGCGGGCGTCTATCCGCTAACGCCATGGCGGCTCCCAGTCGTTGTAATGATTAATCATTATTGTTTTAACAATTTAGGTCTTGGACTGGACAGTTTTAGAAAGTATGATCCAAATGTAAGTATTATTTGAATTGTTTGTTTCTTGCATTTTAGAACATTTAATTTTCAGTATGTGCTTAACATTAAGTTCTTTATTTTTGATCATGCTGTGCAGACATGTTATTTTACTTTTAGGGTCCTGTTGATTGTTGGCGAACGTGCTATTTAAGCCATAACAAATCTTCGGGCCGTGTAGAATATAGACGTGTTATTTAAACCATAACAAACCTTAGGTCCTGTAGAATATAGACGTGTTATTAAAACCAAAACAGATCTTAGGTTCCTGTAGAATATAGATGTGTTATTTAAACCATAACAAACTTTGGGACCTGTAGAATATAGATGTTTTATTTAAAACCATAATAAACCTTTAGGATCTGTAGAATATAGTGTTATTTAAACCATAATAAACCTTTAGGTCCTGTAGAATATAGACAGTTATTAGGAAATTTGTACAGTTTGTGCTTAGAATGTGACTTAATTCCCTTGATGTCACAAGCTGTATCTTATGTTTAAAAAACCAAAATTTAGTTAAAGTGCTGGAAAGATAAAGTTAAGCTATAAAAATAATTTGTTTTGGTGAAGCATTTGAGTTTATGCTCAAAGTTTACTCTGTATGTGAACATGCATGGTCAGTTTAAACAGTTTCAGTTGCCCGGCTCGCTAGCGCAGTTGGCTAAACGGGACTGCACGGCGACCAGGTGACAAACTCCTTGTGGTCAGGGTTCACGCCCAGGGGGTAGGCAGAAAAGCCACATTCCTCCAAGATTTACGGTATCTGTCATGAAATCAAGGCCGAAGGGTTGCGGTATCCATAGTACCAAGCCAAAGGGTTAACAACTCATGGTTTCTTGATACTAAAAAAAAAAAACAGTTACAGTGTTAAGAAATAAATGATAATGATAATCAAAAATGCCCATCTTTATTTCACTTAATACTTTTCACTTGCTAGTATCTGTCACTTTACCTCTCTTCTCTCTTTATCTGTCCATAGCAGAAACAATTGTTGTTTCAATAGACATGCATTGGGTATGTAGTAATATACATAACACTGGGGTATTGATTTTTTGTAGGAAACATTACATTACAGATCTTTATTAATGCATATCAATTTAGAAAAATATTACTAATTTTATACAGTTTTATAAAACATTGTGATCATTTTATTGAGAAAACAGCCATTTACCGTTCATCAAACAAACAAAATCTTTAAAATGATAAAGGTAAAGGTAAAGTCGGAAGATGTGAACCAGCGTCACTGCACACGGTTATAAACCATAAGTGCTCTGCCACCAGTACGGACAGCTGATAAGAAATTGTCCGCTTGTGTTGCCGTCCACATGTAACTCTGTAGCTACAGTGACGTTCATCCATTTACCCCAGTGTGTCAACTTTGGTACCCATTTCCCAGAGGCTGGGTGAACCCCGGGAACCGCCTGGTTTCGAACACTGACCATGGGCTGCATCAAGTCGCAGCTGGATTTAAAAGCGAGTTTCCTATTGACTGCGCTAGCGCGGCAAAAATGGTGAAACAATGCATGTACTTATCAATCATCAGCTCGTGTAGTTAACATTTGTGAAAATATGTTAGCAAAAGTAAAAAATAGAGATTAACTGTAAGCTCAGCAAAGTATACGTGCATGTACAAGCTTTTGTAAGTTCATCAGCAAAAGCTGCTACTTGTAATAATGTGTTTCTGCAGTTGGTTAGCTTGCTGTAAGTTGTCTCTATCCATAGTTTGTTTTACTGTGCTTTGGGTAATGGTTTATGCATTGTAGTGACTGACAGGTGGAAGACTTTTGCAGCAAACTTTAATATGGATAAAATATTGCAATTTGCAGGCCAGATTCTATTCTACAAGAAAGCATGTATTTAAATTAAAGATAAAATAGGTTCATTTGAATTCTATCTATTTTCATATTTACAGTCTTCATGTTATGTTCTTTCAACAAATATGTTTTTCATAGTTACAATATTGATACATCTTAAAGATATTTTTTGCTAATTTATTTTTTACCTGACACAATAAAACTGAAGTTAGAATTCTTGCAGGTTTAAGACCGTTGATTGTGCTGTGAGAACCCAGTTTCTCAGTTTCTGACCTTGTCTGCTTCTTTGCTTTTCTTTAGGTGAAAGAGTAAAGGTCATTGTTATACCATGTTTCACTAGTTCTTTCAACAAATTCTCATCTTTGTTAACATTTTTCAACTTTAAAAAAAATGAAAAATAATTATGTCGTCTTGTTTAAATATATAAGAATGTGTAGGTTTTTATTGTTGACTTTAAATTAAGTAGTGGTTAAATCTGTTTACTTTTTCTGAACAAATAATCATGGACTGGCAGTAGGAGTAGTGATATGCATGTGTTTTATGGTTCCTTTTGTCATGATTTCTGTAGCAAATTGTGGTGACAAGCTTACTGAAGCAGAAACAATTGTGGTTTCAATAGACATGCATTGTGGAAATATTAATATCCATAATACCTACAAATAAATTATTTAAAAGAACAATCACCTTTACACATATTCATAGATACTTTTAAAAGATCCTACTTTCCGATCCTTTGAGATTTATTGCTGCAGATATCACAGCCTTCATTCATCCCTGTGATTGGCTTTTTTTTTCATTTGGTGACTTCACGTATTTGCAGGTTTGCTTGGATATTATACCTCCACTGTCTTCTTGACCTAGTGATCTTCCCCATTCAACTTCTTTGTGTACGCAGTTTTTGTCTCTCTGTTATCGGCCATTCTGTCAGTATGCCCCAAATGTTGCAGTTCTTTTAGCCCTCATGATACCAGTATTTAGTGGTGATTTGAACAGATTATGAATTTCATTGTTTCTTCATACTCTCCCACTGTTACATTTTGGATGGGTAAAGTGAAGCAAAGATTCCTTTTCTCGCCTTTAGGCGCATCGGGCATATGGGAAGAGCACCCTTAATTTTACTGACTAATCGGCACTAGGTGGGTAATGTAGTCAGCATTACGCCGGCCGTCTTTACTTCCCCAGGACATACATCCTGGTACCCACTTTAGGCTGGGTCGACCTGCGACGCCCTATACCATGATAAAAATCCATGCAGCCAGCAGTGGGTTTTGATCACGTTAGGTTGAAATTATGAGCCGGACTCGCAACGACTAAGCCATTAGCGCAGTATTTTGGATGAGTATAGATCCTTTTTTGTTGAAGTAATATTATTTCAACTGCTCAGCTTCCAAGTTTTAAATTACAGTTATACTGTTAGTAACGCGGTGCATACCATTGCAAAATAGTTTTGTCCTGGCAGGTACAGTTAAAAGTTGATTCTTACATTCCTCTTGCATTTTGCTACCCTTGCTATTGTGAGGAGATTGCAGCATACAGCCATACAGAAGTTTTGTGACTAAGCACATTACTTTCAGATCATATGGATAATATTCTTACTTTTCATTACTAAACACCCAGAAATCTGCATTTGTGAGTATATCATATTTTATGTAGCTGACTGGAAATGAAACAGAACAGACATAAGAATAACATACACACTATTATGTGTTTTGTGTTTCAACACCGTGATAGTGCTCTCTGAATGTGGGTGGGTATATCAGCAATGTGTGAGAGCCGTGCAAGTTGAATGTCATGCCTTGGTTAAAGTTTCAGTAGTTTAGTGTCTGTTTTCATGAGAAGTCTGTAGTGTTAAATGTTAGTAGCATCTTATCTCACAAAGCTTTTCTAAGAATATTGTGGTAAGTAGTTCATAAAGTGTGCATTGTTTTTTCTGCTTATTTATAACTGTCCTTATGTGGGTACCAGAATCCCAGAATAGACTCACTGCCCCCTAACAAGCATACATAGCCACATATATCACAGCCTGGTTGTAAACCACAATGTTTCACCCGCTCTTTTGAAAGCGAAGGCAGATCAACAACTTATAACTAAAAGCTTTCTATAAAACTTGTTATACTTGAAAGATGTCCATACAATCTGTGGCAGAACACTGATATTTTGTATCTGTTTCAGCTTTTTCATGTTTGGAAAATAGTGAATTTGTAAATTACCTGAGGTTAGCTAGTTTATTGTGTTGAAAATATTTCATTCGACTGTTAGCAGCAGCTTCTGTAACATGCTAACAAAGAACAAAGAAGAATGTAAAGCAGGTGCATTATTAATCAACTTTACTGAAGTATTCATAATTTAGGCAATTGTAGGTCACAGCAGTTTTTCTCATTGTGAGAAAGAGTTGTCCTTCTACCCTTCTTTCTCTTATTTTGACTGTCTTATCTTTAGAACATTCTGGAGCAACAGCCCATAGTCTCCTCATGTCATTTTCCTATTGCATTATTTAATACCCACCCTGGAAGCCACCTGTATTTCAACTGAAAGGTCCTCCTTTGTTGGTTGTGAGAGCTATCATACTATTCCATAATATGTATCTTCTTACTTCTTTTCTCTGCTTCTGGAATGCCTCGCAGTGTCAGGGCAGTAAGAGATCTCTGGAACAGGCCCTTCTTTTCGCTTCACATAGAGTACTTTTCTGTGTCTTAGATATTTCTGCAGTTTATCTTCTGCGTCATCGACCTCTGGCTTCATTACAGCTGTATCTGTATAACATTGCTTTCTGTGATGCCCTGTCAGATGCCAGTCTTGTTACATAGCCAAACCATTTTATTTATTGTCTTCCTATAAAGTTCAGTATTGAAGCTCATGGTGTTTCTTGGTACTGAATGAGTTAACTAACTGGCAACAATTGAGGAGTAAATAGTTTCTAGGGTTTAAACCATTGTGTTGTAATGAATAGGATATTTTAAAATTAAAACCAGGATGAAACATCTAGTAAAAGTTATTCATTGTTAACATTAAAAATGTTAGCCCCAGATCTTCTTCTTCTTCTTCTCCTCCTTCTCTTTCTCCTTCATGTTCATCAGCTGTAAACTTTGATGGAAAGTCCTGATTGTTTGTCCACTTCTGGACTTTGGACTTGTTCCAGGACTTGATTTTTGTGTGCAGATCCATTTGACAGATATGGCTTTATTTG